ACACACACAAAAACACACTTCGACAACTCCCAACTGTCTAGAAAAGCACTTTTTCCACCGGCTATTTACGGTAACACGTGGTTTACAGCTGCGTTGCTTGTAAAATTAACATACTGAAAAGGGGCCGCAGCAACGACCAAGTAGCTATACATAGCTTAGCATGACAAAAGGGCCATTACGTGCCATGATGACAGCAGGCAACCTACTTGAAATAGAGGCTTGGGAGCTGACTAACAACTCAAGAGGCAGTTTTGCTGCATAGTCACACAGAAAGATGTCAAATTTTGAACAGTTTCATCACCTGCTGCATATTCAATGACATTAACATTTTTGAACAACCAATTTTGCTTATATCTAACATAAAAGAAAGTTAGAGCTGTGGTTTGGTGGTTAGAGGTTCTACACTTGGAGACATGGTGCTCATTCTGGAAATTTAAGTTCCTGGAAGTTTAAGTCCCAATCTTAGGGCCCTATGATTTCTGTGATGTGGAAAATTGAAAAATTGAAGAATCCAGTTATAAAAATGGAATTTAATGCAGAATTCCACATGAACTTTATCTCCAGAGCTGCGGGGATTAACACCGTTTAGATAATAAATTTGTATTCAATCATAAATCAAGAAAAAAAAAATAAAACTGAATTTTTTAAATATTTAAATTTAAATAATGAATTTGGTTTATTAGACATGCTTTTTGATTTTTCAATTAAATTCAAATTGAATTAAATCATTAAAATGGAATCAAGAACAATTAATAGGGCTGGGTATCGTTCAAAAAATTTCGAGATCGATACCGATACAGATACCTTGACTTCAGCCCGTTCCTGAACGATATTTTTCTATACCAATTTTATGAAATCCATTTTAACAAGATTACATTACACATCAAAGGCGTCATATGACGATGCTAAAAATAATTTTTTTTTGTGTATTTGGTGTAATGTAATGTGTTTATGCGGTTTAAGGTAAAAAAAAAAAAAAATCATTTTCCACAATGTACATTATTGTTTCTCCTCTATGCCCCGCCTTTCTGAAACGCGTCGATTTTTACAAAGCTCATCGTTCTGAAAAGCAAGGTGTGCTCTGATTGGCCAGCTATTAGGGCTCAACGATTAATTGCATTTGCGATAATATCGCGATATGAAAAAAACACGATTTTTCAATCGCAGAGGCTACGATTACACTCGGTCACATGACACACGAGAGTAAAGAGGTGTGTTCGACTTGAAGATCGGTCGGTGTATGACATCAAAGTACGGTGCGAGAAAGTATAAGGAGACGTCCTCGCTCTCTTATAGCTCTCGCAGTACTTTGATGACACACACCCATCGGTCTAAGCCAGTGGTTCCCAAACCTGTCCTGGAGGACCCCCTGCCCTGCACATTTTGTGTGTCTCCCTAATCAGACACACCCAATTTAGATCATGAAGTCTCTACTAACGAGCTGATGAGTGGAATCAGGTGTGTTAGATAAGGGAGACATACAAAAGGTGCAGGTCAGGGGGTCCTCCAGGACAGGTTTGGGAACCACTGCAGCGCTGCTTCAAGTCGAGCGTGGGCTATCAGCAGAAAAAGAAAAGAAATAAAACAGTAAACAGCCAAAGTACGTAATTAGAATGGGAGATGATACAGTGACTTTGAATTACCTTAAGTAGTGTGGTAAAGCAACAGATTTGTTTTTTTATTTCTACAATCTACTTTAGCTAGTGTGATTTGTTACTGACTTTCACATTAATGTTTACACCAGGCTTATTTGTCAGTGCTTTATGTTGTCATAATTATTACATGCTTACAAGGTTGGAAGTTCAACAAATCAGTCAATATACTGTGATTGTAGTTGTTAAATAAAAATGTCATTCATATCAGTTCATGCATCACCTAATTAAATCGTAACATATAGGCCTGGCCTACAGAAAAGAACATTACATATGTTTAATCTATCTAATATTGTGTTGGTCATATTATACAATGATTTATAGCTTGTCTTTGTTGAATAATACAGAACATGAAGAGCTTTAAAAAATAATTGCATATTAAATCCCAATCGCAATATTGGTAAAAAAACATC